TCAGGATGGAATGAGAGGTAGAGTTGAGTGTCATCAGCATAGCAGTGATATGAAAAGCCATGTTTCTGAATGACAGAACCTAGTGATGCCATGTAGACATAGAAGAGAAGTGGTACAAGAACTGAGCCCTGAGGCACCTCAGTAGCTAGATGTTGCGACTTGGACACCTCACCTCTCCAAGATACCATGAAGGACCTATCTGAGAGGTAAGACTCAGACCACTGGAATGTGGTTCCTGAGATGCCATTTTCCAATAGGGTTGACAGGAGAATCTGGTGGTTCACCATATCAAAAGCAGCGAACAGATCCAGCAAGATAAGTATAGAAGATTTGGAAGCCGCTCTTGCCAGTTTTAGGGCTTCAACAACTGAAAGCAAGGCAGTCTCGGTTGAATGTCCACTTCTGAAGCCAGATTGGTTGCTGTCCAGGAGGTTATTCTGTGTGAAAAAGGCAGAGACTTGGTTGAACACAACTCGTTCAAGTGTTTTTGCAATGAAAGGTAGAAGGGACACCGGTCTGTAGTTCTCTAAAAGAGTTGGGTTAAGAGTGGGTTTCTTAAGAAGTGGGGTTATATGATATCATAATGATGCTCATAATTCAAATGACAATATGGAGAAAAGCATTTGTTGATAAGCTTTTCCTTTCACCTAGGCCATAAATTCTGACTGAGGCTCAACATTTAGCTCCCAAGTAAGCTTAAAATATAAACTGTGAAATAGTTCTCTGGTGTTGAACATATGCATAAATGAAGCTTAATGAAAGGGCAGTTAGTCTCAACAGAGCAAGAGAGGACAACTTCCTGAAGACTTTCATTCAGACATGCGCTCATTTCATTACATATAATTAATAACACGCCAGCGGGGTGTTTTTCAAACACTGTGACAGCATGTCCTTGTAACATGAGCAAGAGTTGAAAGACATTTGTCTAGTGTAAAGTTCCACACAGCTGCCATAATTTCAAAGCCACAACCACATGACCCCCGGCATTTGTGCTCTCTCCTGGACAGATCTTTGAATAATGTGTTATCCAATAAATAATTATATTTTTTAGAAATGGTTGACAAACCATTATACAAAAATCTAGGAGTAACAAGGAGTAACACTTTAGTATAGGGACCAATTCTCACTAGTTGCTTGCCTATTATTATGCCTATTATTAACATATTGTCTGTTTATTATAAAGCACATATTCTGCATGACCATATTCTACATCCTTAATCCTACCCAATACCTAAACTTAACAACTACCTTACTAACTATTAATAAGCAGAAAATTAGGAGTTTATTGAGGCAAAAGACGTAGTTAATGGTTTGTTAATAGTGAGAATTGGACATTAAAATAAAGTGTGATTGAGGCTATCTGCCAAAATTACATTCAAAAATATGATAAAAATAAGTAGTTTTTTTTTTCAATCATAATGTGATGATTTACTAGGAGAAATTACATGGTTAGATGTAAAAAAAAATTCATTTTTACCCTTGTGAAAAAGTTTTTGTGGAAACGTGCACCTGTTTAAAAACTGTACAGATAATAGAATAATAAATCAACCTTTAAAAAGTGTACTTTGTAATTATGTTAAATTAAATAAATCTTTTAAAATCTTTTCCAATTAAATAATCTTTTTTTTCATGCTTTAAAGAAGTGCTTATTTTTATGAGCTGCCTGACATAATAACCACATGTAAAGTACTTGATTTTAATTTTAACTGTAGTATATAATTCAATATTACATTTAAAGATAATTATTTGTAAATTTAAACAATAACAGTAGACGTAATTATGTAATTACATATCAAGATTATATAAAAAGCACTCTTAAGTTCAACTAATTGCATTTAATATACATTTTATGATTTTCATTGAATTACAAATTACATGTAATTAAGTGTCAGTAAACATTGCATTCTCACTTAAGTATATTATTTAAAAGTAGCCTATGTTACTTCAGTAATAAGTACTCTTTTTAAAAGAATGCTAATGCGTACTTCTTTTTCACAAGGGTATTAATGCTGGAAAGCTACAAAATTGAGCTGACTGACTGGTGGCCAGTGTTTCATTTCAATGAATAAAACTAAATGTTAAAGGTTAATGTTGATTAGCACATCTACCAGGAGGGTTGTTGACACGGCATAGCTAGTTATGTAAGATGAGACAATCAGTTAGAATACGCCAAAGCACATTTTGTCAACCTGTCACATTTGGCTTCCTGATGAAATATTGGCTACTTTAGATGAACCTGACCTTGGTACTGCTGTTGAAGCTAAGCAGACTCTGTGGTGTCATATGAACAATGTGTCTGAGCCAGATAGATAACAAAGATATGCTAGAAGAATTTATGCTTTCTGTGACATTGGGAAAGTTCTTAGACATAATTGATACGCAAAAGTAACACTCAAAAATCAGTCAGAGAGATTCCCTTGACTCTCACTCTGCATAATAGAGAGCAATGTTTTACACTATCGCTTCATTTAATAGAAGAGCGGTATGTTCCTAAGTGTGATCTCTGATCCCAGCTGGCCTGTAACTGAAATACCAAGTGTGATGAAAATCAACAACCGCCAGCTTGCTTTCCTGAAGAAATCATCGGAGCCTTCTCACTCTATCCCTCTCACTCATCGGTCACAGGTCTATTTAGGAAATCGTATATATAGACATGATCATCTGATGCAGGATCACTCCCAGAAGTATGTTCAGATTCACACATTCAGCAGATTCACTCATTCATCAACTCTTATGTAAGGACTGACATTGAGGGATGCAATATAAGTGTAATGATCATTATAGCTCTTTTACAAATTTTTTTTCTAGGAATGGTATGATGACCTGAAGACACTGTGTGAAATGTTGCTTGTCAGACAGTGCTAAGTTAATAAACTAATCTGATTCACTACTCCTGTGCAGATATTTATTACGCTGTCTTTATTCTTGGAAGGTGGGAATATTGGAACAGTCCATGCTGGTCAGTCAAGGGCAACCCATTACATACATACATACATAAACATTATGATAGAACAACAACACAATATCTCTGCTCTATATTGCTAGGATATGGGGTTTTAGCACATTCTGGAGTGAGACCAGAAGTACCTTGTTAACTCGTAGATTGTTAATGACCCAGCACCTTGAAAAGGCCAAACATACTGAATTACACAAGCCTCGCCTGAAAAATTCAGATCTCTGTTACAGCTAAATATGGAGGTAGGGAGGTAGGCTCTGGTACATGACGTCCTCAAAGACATTACCTAAATCAATATAACCTCTGTTGTCTGTGCTTGTACATTTGATCTATGTATTCCATGAGATACTGGACAAGACTAGAAAGGGGAATCCTACTTTAAATTTAAATTTACACACACACACCCACACACACACACACATATATTTGTAAATATGTATATATCCTTTCATTATTTATCCATTTCCTTAAATGTTGTTGGCTGTAATATATCTTGACCATGTCTTGACAAATATCACTCAACAGATAACAGTGGAAGACCTGGCCTATTAATATAAAAGCTATAGATTTAACCCGAATTGGCAGAACCCAAGAATTGAAGAGTAACTCTCACATAATTCAGTATTTATTTAGTGAATATTAAGAATCTGGTAAACTGTTGCGCTTTGGAGATAAATGTAAAGACTATCAGTCTGTAGTCAGCCTGTGGGCAACAAGAGACAGAGACATGCATATGTGACTTTGACTTGAGAATAAATTCAAGACCTTGACACACTTGTCTTGTTAAAGTTCACAATGGATGTTAAAAATGGAATGCAACAGGTGACAAGACTGTTCTCTGGGCACCAAAATAGTTCACATCCATAAATTTCTACTCTTGTGATTAGGAACTTTTAAGTTTTGTCTTTTTAAAACTATACTGCAGAAGCATTACAGCTATTTTCAATGGAAAATAGAAAGTAATACAACCAAGCTCAATTATAATACCCTAATGCTTCATTCAGGTAGATATTTCTGCTTGTCACTGTTTGAACTAGCAAATATTTGTACCTCAAAGTGCAAAATGAAAAAGATCATTGTGAGATATCGTTTAAATATGAAATAAAGTCACATTTTGAGAAATAGTCACAATTGTGAGATATAACATTTGTAATTCATAAGAGAAACAGTTACGTCATGAGATATAAAGCCACAATTATGAGAAATAAAGTTGCAGTTGTGAGATTAGTAGTCACAATGTGAGATATGAAATCACACTGTGAGATACAATGTCTCATTAATAAGAAATGAAGGGAGACATAAAGTTTAATTTATCCCATACAGAGAATGTAGTGTGGCCAGCTTGCCTTTGTATCAGCTGTCAACAATAAAAATAAATGCCTGTCTGTTAAGAAAAAATTTGAAAACCACTTTGATTAAAAGCTTTTTAATAAGACAGAGATGTGGAAAAAAGGCAACTTAATTAGGCTGCGTGTTTATAGTATAGCTTGCTATTCATTAAAAAAAATAATTAGAGATTGTTTTTATGTTTCCAACATAAAAGATTCATTCAGGCTTTTCTAACAAAATCCTTACTCACATGTTGGCTTTAGTTAAAGTTGAGGTGGAGGTTCTTTTCCTTTGGAGTGAATTCTTCATTATTTATCACTTCAGACTGCAGAAATTTCATATGAACACCAAAAACTACAATTTAAACACAATTTGAAGTACATTCAGATTATTCACTCCCAGTGCAAAATATCTTTTGTCTCCCTCTGTAAATCTTATGCCACTCCTCACTCCAGTCAGACACACACTGTAACACCTTCTTTCTTCTCAGTATGTTTTCATCCCCCTGACTCACATACATGCTTGCCCTCCCAACACCACCCCCTATCATTTTCCTTAAAGGGGTCATATGATGCGATTTCAATTTTTCCTTTCTCTTTGCAGTGTTACAAGCCCTTGGTGCATAAAGAAGATCTGTAAAGTTGCAAAGACTAACGTCTCAAATCCAAAGAGATATTCTTTATAAAAGTTAAGAGTCAACCACGCCTACCTAAAACGGCTCGTTCTAACACGCCCCCACATATCTACGTCACGATGTGGGAAGATTTGCATAACACCGCCCAAATATTTACACAAAGAAAGAAGGCATAACTTTGATTCTCGCTGTAGTATTGTTGTTGCCGTGTGTTTCGTTGTGAAAGCGAAACTACTTTTTTTGGCCTTCCAAAAGAGGACAATATCCGCTTCGTCATGCCTAGAGCTGATCCGTGCTGGTCGCTGAGGAAATACAACAACTTCACGCTGTGGATCACCGTGTAAATCATTATAATCCGTAATTATGTCCCCACTGGATGCAACAAATGCCTCGTTTATAATGGGTTTGAATGTTTTTGTCTCGTAGCTCCGGCCGGGACACGACATTACAGTATGGTAAGGGACGTAACATTTCCGTCACACGCTTGACGTATTCGGCCAATCACAACGCACTGGATAGCTGGCCAATCAGAGCACACCTCGCTTTTCAGACCGATGAGCTTTGTAAAAATCGACGCGTTTCAGAAAGGCGAGCCATAGAGGAGAAACAATAATGTACAGTATGTGGAAATAATGTGGTTTTTTAACCTTAAACCGCATAAACACATTTCATTACACAAAATAATGTTCTTTTTAGCAACATCATATGACCCCTTTAAGGCTTTCCCCTCTGCTTTGGCAGCAGTCATATGCTCTCATATGCTCTATACACACTTGACAATATTAAGTACACATGACTAGATAATGATCAGCACTGTATTTTTAGGGTTCAAGCACCCAAAAGTGGTTTAGAATGAATGACTTGTTCACAGGATAACTTTGAAGATTTCATACATTGCTTGCCATTGGACTCTGTTCTGTCATACAAGGATGTTCAAGAAACTGATACTGAAAAAGAAAGAGGGAGAAACAAAGATTATTAGAGTACATTTTACTATAAATTCTTGAGCTTCTTTTTTTTCCAGAGTGGTTAATATTCATACCCATTCAGGAAAGAATCAACAATTTATATATTACTTTTCTTATACAAGGAGGTTCTGCTTCTGCTTTGTGGTCACAGGACTTTGTGGACTACAAAGTAACTCTAATGAAGTCCAAAAGTGTGCAGATTCAGAAAAATATTGATACAATCTCATGTTTACATCACCTTTCTTGAGAGAAAATTGTCATTACTATTAAACTCATGTCTCTTACTTTACACTTACTTTACAAGGCAAAAAACAGTATGTGAAAAGAGTAGTATGTCCAAATTCACAGTATTCATGAAACAGTAAGTTCCCAGATGACCTACTAGTTCTGATGAGATTCTGATGAGGCCCACGGGATGACTTGTGAATGGCAGGGAAGCAACCCAACAATGACAAAATGATGAATGTCCTAATTACATTACAAACATTCATTCTAGTACATATTTTTTTTAACGGTCGCAAAGTACTTACTCAAAAGAATGAGCAAAATACTCAGAACACTGTGCTTAAAGGGATAGTTCACCCAAAAATGTAAATTCTGTCATTAATTACTCACCCTCATGTCGTTCCAAACCCGTAAGACCTTCGATCAGCTTCGGATATTTTTTGATGAAATCCGAGAGCTTTCTGACCTGGCATAGACAGCAATGCAATTGACACATTCAAGGCCCAGAAAGGTAGTAAGGACATCATTAAAATTGTCCATGTGACATCAGTGGTTCAACCTTAATTTTATGAAGCTACAAGAATACTTTTTGTGCACAAATTGTTGAATAAAGTCATTATTTTTGTTTTCTTTGCGCACATAAAGTATTCTCGTAACTTCATAAAATTAAGGTTGAACCACTGATGTCACATGGACAATTTTAATGATGTCCTTACTACCTTTCTGGGCCTTGAATGTGTCAATTGCATTGCTGTCTATGCCAGGTCAGAAAGCTCTCAGATTTCATAAAAAATATCTTACTTTGTGTTCTAAAGATGAACGAAGGTCTTATGGGTTTGGAACGACATGAGGGCGAATAATTAATGACGATCCCTTAAAACCAGGTTACCTTCGTTCTAAACCCTGCTTTTAACCCTAGGTGAAGGTACGCTTCACATTTGTAATTTAGGAGCAGGGTTAGCACTTTTTACCCAAGACTATGAAACCCTACTCAGGCTTGAAACCAGGTTTTAGTTTTGCAATGCAGTGCCTTAAATGTACATTTTTAATTATACTTCCATAAATTCATATAGCCAAGGTCAAAATATAGGTGTGTCTGGTACTGTACCATGATTTTCTATTAAAGTATCGCACCATTTCATAAGATGCAGTTGTAGATATAGACATTAATGATTTGGGAAGTGACAGACAATACTATGCAAACACACAGGTTCACTACCTCATGAACAGATTAAATAAAGTCAAAGACTTTGGTGGCTTGTCGTTCAAAAATAAAAACATTCTTGAAAAAAATTAATTACAACTGATTACCTAATTAATTTCTGTTTCCCAGCGCTGTACAACCATGTGTAATTCATCCTTCCAAAGCAACGATTCAGTCTCCATGTTAAATGAAGTTCTACAGTGGCACTACATTTGCCAGGAACATTTTGGCACTCTTGTCATACAGCATTGTTCTTATTTTTGGAAACGCCAATCAATTGCTGGTCCCTCTGGGTGTTTCTCCATGGTAACATCAAACCAAACTTCGTGTTTCTTTCCACTGAACATCACTGTACTGGTGCTGTTGTATTGTTTTCTTTGCTTAATAGACTTCATAATACTTACCAACAAAGTTTCAGGGCCAAACTATCAATTGGTTGTCTTTTTTGTTGATCTCAACTGGACTTTTTTCCAGATAAAATATTCTTTATGCATTTTTGCATTGCGGTAATAATAATCTCATTTTGCTGTGCCTCTGTCCTTCGTGCCTTGAAACTTCCAGGTCCAGGGGACCAAAAGTATAGAGATGACAGGGAAAGACAGGCACAATTAAACTGACAGAGGCAGAGCTGTTGAGAATTAGCAGAAAAGGAAGGCCTTCAGAATCATCTCTCATATTTTAGTGTCTATCCTGATTTGTCACATCCCTATAATGTTGTAGCTTATTTTATGCTCATAGTTGAAATCAGTAGTCATTTATACATATGTCCATCACTATGATTTTTGTACTAATTTCACCACTAATCAGGATGCATAGTGAAGGCCATCTGAAACACATAATGTGCTTTTCAAAGCTTAGAGAACAAATAAAACGCTAATAAGACACTGAGAGCTTTAAAGATTGTTGTATTTTTTTTTAAACAAAGGGACTTGACATTATTTGAAAGACTACAATGTGTGATGAATACATGCTAGAGATAAACAATGTAATTTGATTACTTGTATGTTGCTGATTGGTGTTTTATGCTTTGTCTATGAGGAGAAAGAGTAAATGAATAACATTCGCTACATCTCATAATATTGTCAACACTATATAGTACTATTATTATTGCTATTATGTATTTTACTATAATTATTTAAATAAAATGGAACAGTTTTGACAAAATAACTTTTCTTTGTTTTAGCATATTTAAATATTTACCCTTTTGTTATCACAATGGTGTTACAGTACACCATGAATTTAACATGAATTTAAATTAGTAAATAAAATGTTTTTGATCACTTTTACACTTTTGAGTTTTACGATTCAGTGATTTGTTAACTTGAGAGCTGGAACAATGAGTCGGAGTCGTTAGCCACTGCAATCGGATCAGTCGAATTCACAAAATGAACCATTCAGTGTGACAGTAGGGGAGCGCGGGGCACAAAGTAACATGGGGTTAGTTGTAACACACATGGTTTGAATATTTCCACACATGCTAGCATAACAAAATGTACAGTATTTATTAGTTACCATATCAACATTATATAGAAAAAAAGTGTGCCAAAATTAAAAAATCTTTTGAAGATATCAATGAACATTTATTTTATCATAGTAAAATTTTAATTCTGGCGTAAGTAAATTTTTCATCTCTGTTTTTATTAATCATTTAAAATGAGACAAATCTGCTATTATTTTAATCTCCAATCTGTTATTCATCAGATAGTTTTTTTAATGCTTCGCTAACTAGCAGAAGACAGCAACTAGTTTTAAACTCCAATTGCGCAGATATTCTATGACATTAGCGATGTAATTTACACTATTTACAAATTTTAATGAGAAACAACGAGAAACAGGTGAATAAAGACTGACAGTCAATGTTTAATGTTTAGAAATTATTATTTCAAGACATGTAAAGCATTTTTGCTCGTTTATGTGGGCCGTCCCAAGCATGTTTGCAATGTGTTCATTGTCAAACTCCAAAATCAGATTATTTTTCACTCTTAAAAAACGCCATTATTTTATTTGAAAAAAATAAGTATTTTATTTTATTAACAAAATATTTTATTTTGTCTTGTATATTTTTTTCATGAGATCAGATAATGTTTTAAGATGTTACAACGTGCCTCTCAGATGTTAAAATGTTACAATCAATACATGGCATGTTGTCACTTTTCACTTCCATTTTTTGAGGGTAAATAAAGAAAAACGTATACACTGTAATCATGAAACAAAGCGACATATTTGTACTAGACAAGTGTAAAATTACTGTGGATAAAAAAATTATATTCTGAACCCCATGTGGATTTACACACACTGAGAAAGTCGAAAAGTGTTACTTTGTGCCCCGCTCTCCACTGCCTGAAAAGAATCAAAAATACTGATTTGTTCAAGAATCATTCATTCATGAATTAGAAATGTAATGGAGTAAAATGTCATATAATATGCTTTGTAATGTAGTAATTGATTACCATATGCATTAGGCTATATTTTGTCCTTTAGTAGAATTAACCCCACTATGTCTGTCTTGCACCACCTGCACTTATATGGATTCTTACTCTGTTAGAAATATTGAATAATAATAGAATATATAAGTTATATGCAATTCATAATTTAATATCTACTGTTGTGCCTGAATTCAATTTGCTCCAAGTAAAATTAGTGTATGCCTGTATGGATAGATGTTTTATATGAATTTGTTTAATATCATGGCAACAAAGATGAGGGCTTTGGTCTTGGTTCATCCTGAGATTTTTTTGCAAATGCATCTTTTTAAACATCCTAGGGAGTTTTTCCTTAATGTCACCTTTGACTTGCTCACTTGGGACTTTAAGACACTATATTATTTTCAAAGTTGCTTTGGAACAATATTTACATCTCCATAAAATAGATAAATACAGGAAAGTGCACACCTTACCCCATTCTTCTTTAAATCATGATTTGACTCTCAAACTATAACATATATGAATAATGATGATTATTAGAAACAACATTTGCCTTTTTGAAAAAGAAAATCATGAGACAATCTGTAAAAATGTCAGTGTAAAATAACCATGTTTATGATAACACACCATGATTTTATATTCAAATATTGCACCAATATTTGCTTGAATGATATGTTGCTGCAAATATGGACGTTCATAAGGACACATTAATGACATGAAAGAAAGAAAGAAACAAACAAAAAAAAGACAATGCAAACACAATATATGTGAGCACAGGCACATTTATAGTTCCCTATGAACAGATGAAATAAAGTCAGGCTCTTTTGTGGCTCGTCACTGGTATGAACAAATAAAACAGTTCTGTAGTATATTTTGAATTATCTTTCATCAATCCAGGTATGGCATTTTTTTTTCAATAGTTCAAATATGGTTTCTCTGGGTGTTTCTTCACAGGAACATCAAACCCAATTTGGTGTTTCCACTGAGCATCACTGTACTGGAGTTGCTTTATTGTTTTCGTTGTTTATAAACTTAATTATTAACAACTATTTCTCGTTAACAGCCTATAAATTGGTTGTCTTTTTCACTGGTCTCTGCTGGACTGTCAGGCCTCTTCTCCAGATCTGCATGTGCACGGAACATTACCTGGCAGTGATTAATCCAATAATATTCCTGAGATATAAAGGCATCCAGTACAAGACTGAATTGGTAGCAGCAGCTTGGCTAGTTGCAGTGGGCCACGGCTTGAGGCTCATTTTCATTGAAGTACCATTTTATCCAGATCATGTAATGTTTTTGTTTTTTTGCATTGCAGTGATAATAATTTCATTTTGCTGTGCATCTGTCCTTTGCGCTTTGAAGCGTCCAGGACCTGGGGATCGACAAAATGTAGAAACAACAGAGAAAGACAGACACAATAAAACTGACAGAGGCAGAGCTGTTGAGAACAAGCAGAAAAAAAGGCATTTAGAATAATTTTTCATATTTTAGTGTCTATCCTGGTTTGCTATTTACCTCTAGTAATAGCCTTCTTTATGTGCATAGCTGAAATCAATGAGCGTTTATATTCATGTGATATTTTCCCAATGATTCTGTGCATCACAATGACTGTTGTATTAATTTCATCACTAGTCAGGGTGTGTAATGATGGCCATCTGAAACATAGAGTGTGCTTTCCAAAGCTTAGAGAACTCATAAAAGCAAAATAAGAGACTATATTTCTATATTAATAACTTTTTGTTTTCTCTAATATTTTTGAATTTTCATGTACTGTATATACTGTATGTATTATGGATATATTGTGTGAACTTTTGTGACATTTGAAAGATGTTATAAATGTTATGAGCCAGTTTTGTTCGTGCTAAAACTTTTACTTGACTTTTTTTTGTTAGTAGCAAAGGTATGCTGCTTTGTATGTGTGGATTAAGCGACCACTGGTTGCTGAGGACTTGGAAACAAGTTAATTGAAGATCATTACCAACTAATTAGGAGTGTGTTCAAAGCACTGCCTTGTGAAGCTTGTAAACCATATGCATCTTTTGCTGAATCAGTGCTTCGGAGCGTGTATCAAATCAACCAAGTCATGTGATTTCTACCAACCAACAGGTTATGTCATACTGTATTTCAAGTCAATTTTATATTTTAATTTAGTAATGGTTTGGTGGAAATGGAAAACATTTTTTTTCTAAAAGTGTTACATACTTGATGATACAAAGACTAAGTGCTACAAATGAATACAAGACTAAAAATATTACAGGCTAAAGATAATACAAATAATAGACACACTTGAAAAAACCTGCAGCTGTTTTGTAGCAAATTTCACAACACATTTTTGCTGTGGCATTTAGCATTTACATGGCTTTAACCAGCTGATGTCCTCAGAGTGCAGAATTTGAGCGCTTTGAAGCAGTGAATCATTTTGTAGAGCAGATGCTTCAATTTTAAGTTTCAAAAGTCTCAACCGTCTCCCATCACTAGTGCCAAGATTGCGTGTCATCAAAGCTAGTCCAACCTAAAGTTTTATGGGTAATTTGGGGCAGGATAAAAAAAAACAACAACAGCTCACAGCTCACAAAGTACCATTACTATAAAATGAGTGACATGGGTATATATGCAGCATATTCACATTTAGCACATTTATTATAATTGGTATGCATTATATCCCACAATATATTGTTGCAAAAATTATAGTCATAAGCATGCAGGGCATGACATGAGCTAAACAACAGCGTCAAACATATGCAAACAAAATGGGAATGGGCACACACACATTCAGTTGTCTATTAATAGACCAAACTAACTAGATGAGACATGTTTGATAGCTCGTAGCTTCTGGGATATTTCATAGCTTTTGTGTATTTCTTTCTGTCCCATGAAGTCAGGTATGATATTCATTTCAATTTTAATTCGGTAACACTTTATAATAACTTTAATTTATAAATCATTAACAAACATTATGCTCAACAGATCATTAGTTAATATACTGTATATTCACATAGCAAGAAATATGAGATAATGTTCTTGTTAATGTTTACTAATGAACTTACTAAACATTACCTGATGATTAACATATGGTTATTTAATGTAAATCGAAATGCTTACAAATGTCAGTGAACTTTCAGTTCATATTATCTTCATTTGTTGGTCTTTGCTTGTTGTGTAGACCTCTATTTACACATCTTAACAAATAATCTATTAATTATTTGTTCTTGTTTTTGCAGTACCCAATCTAGTGGAAACTATTCATCATTTGCAAATGTTTATAAATGTTTACTAATCATTAATACCTTTATGAGCAGTCATCTCAATGGCAAAAAGTGTCCTGAGATATTCATTTCAATTTTAATTCGGTAACACTTTATAATAACTTTAATTTATAAATCATTAACAAACATTATGCTCAACAGATCATTAGTTAATATACTGTATATTCACATAGCAAGAAATATGAGATAATGTTCTTGTTAATGTTTACTAATGAACTTACTAAACATTACCTGATGATTAACATATGGTTATTTAATGTAAATCGAAATGCTTACAAATGTCAGTGAACTTTCAGTTCATATTATCTTCATTTGTTGGTCTTTGCTTGTTGTGTAGACCTCTATTTACACATCTTAACAAATAATCTATTAATTATTTGTTCTTGTTTTTGCAGTACCCAATCTAGTGGAAACTATTCATCATTTGCAAATGTTTATAAATGTTTACTAATCATTAATACCTTTATGAGCAGTCATCTCAATGGCAAAAAGTGTCCTGAAAGACCTGCATTTACCCTATTCACACATCTTTACTTATTATTTATTAATAATTTGTTCATGTTTTTGCAGTAGCCAATCTAGTTGATCATTTGTAAATGTTTATATACGATTACTAATCATTTAGTATCTTTCTGGGCATTGGACTTTTATCTAATGTAACAAGGTTTGTGTAAAGGTTTTGCTGGTTAAGTTTAGCTAGATGCTTGCTAAAGACATAACAGATTAGTATACTACTCTTCATTCTCATCATTAAACAGGATATTCCATGAATCATACATAAACGGGATAACAAATAATTTTTTAAAAGAACATGTGGATTTATCAAAACAATAATATAAACAGATTGAACCATGTTCCCTTATAATAATCAAATTGACCCCTGTACACCGTTGACCCTTTAACCAACCCTTAAACCTACCCATACCACCAAACCTGTCCCTAACATTACACTTATATCACACTTCAAAAGCAGCAAAAGTGTTGTGCATTAACACAAGCTTTTAGTCATTTTATAACATCATTATAAATCATTTGTAGATTTTCAGTAAGTACTTGATCATATGGAATTGAAACTTGAATGGCATTTGCAAGTATTTTAACTTACATGAAATAATGATTTGTTTGAATATTAGCAAACATTAGCAAGCACATTGTCTCATGTTTCTAACTCTTTGAATATATATTAACTAATGATCCATTAAGCATTATATAATGTTTGTTAATGATATATTAATGAAAGTTATTATAAAGTGTTACCCTTTCTATTTAAAACATTAGATATTTCTGACTATTATTTATATTTTATACATAAAATAAGAAAATTATTATGACAATCCATCTTTCATTTCCCCAGCTCTGTTCAACCATGTGCAATTCATCTTTTATAATCTGGAATGCATCTATATTTGAATGGTACTGCATTTGTGAAGGACATTTTGGAACTTATTTTGTTCTTTTCACTTCAATACTTTGCTTCATTGTGGGAACACCGGTCCATTGCTGGTTCCTCTGGGTCCATCTCCATGGGGACATCAAACCAAACTTGGTGTTTCCACTGAACATCACTATACTGGAGGTTTTTTATTGTTTTCAATGCATTGTAGACATCATTGTTGTCAGATATCCCTCTAGATTGGGCCAGAGCATGCTTCACTTTCTTATAGGTCTCTGCTGGACTTTCAGACCTCTCATCCAGATCTGCATGTGTATTGAACAATATCTGGCAGTGATTCATCCGCTAACATTCCTGAGATATAAGGGCATCCAGAACAGGATTGCATTGGTATTAGCAGCTTGGCTAACTGCTTTAGGGAACAGCATGAGGCTTGTTTCCAATGGGATATATTACTTTCAAGATCATATATTCTTTGTGGGTTTTTGTATTGCAGTGATAACAACCTCATTTTGCTGTGCCTCTGTTCTTCGCACTTTGAAGCGTCCAGGACCAGGAGATCGAAAGAATGTAGAGATGACAGGGAAAGACAGAAACAATAAAACTGACAGAGGCAGAGCTGTTGAGAACCAGCAGAAAAGGAAGGCCTTCAGAATCATCTCTCATATTCTAGTGTCTATCCTGGTTTGTTATTTACCCCTAGTAGTAACTTATTTTGTACGCATATCTAATATCAGTAAACCTACTTATATATGTGAAGCTGTTCCACTGATCCTGTCAGTCACCCCAGTTATTCTGTTAATTTCACCTCTAGTCAGAATGTACAGTGAAGGCCACCTGAAACAAATACTGTTTTTCAAATGTCTTCAAATGAAAGGAATATTGCATTTGAAATTCTAATTTCATTATGTATATGTGACAAGTGCAAATACAAATTAAGATTACATGTATTACATAGCATGATGTTGCCTCTGTAATACAGCACTATCATTTTTATTATGTGTGTTATGATTGTTTGGATCTATCGATTGCTTTGAGAAATACATTTACCTTTGTTTTCTGTACTTTGAACAGTACAGAAAAGATAAGTGTAATTTAAACAGATGGAATCCATTGAAACTGAGCAAGTGAAACACAAGCAGTATTCAGATAAACCCATGAGTTTTTTAAATGTAAGGAACCATTAAAACAGGCGCGCAGATGGCACTGGGGGGTGTTTTCATGACAACTGACCAAAATCAACGTTACTCACCTATCAAAAAGAAACAGCACAACTTCGGCATCCGATTCGAGCTCTTCCCGCTCCTTGAGTTTCTCTCAACCGCTGGAAAGCTGCTCTGATATTTACGCGGGTCCTACCTCTTGCCTGATTGTAACCCTTCTTTTTAATGTTTTGTTTTTATGATATTTTCCTCTTTTTTTATCTGCCATCTCTCTCTATCTATAGTCGATCTGCTAATATATCGACTATATATCACCATTACTTTGTACTCACGTTCTCACTACATGCTGTTCTGTTAATAAACACACGTGCCGATGGTGCTGCCACCGATGTTTACGTTCTCTGTGTGTATGTGCTTGCTATGACTCCTGACCCCGGGGTCCTATGAGGAGCTGGTAGCTGCCTCAGTTGTGCCTGTAGCAGTAACCATAGTGATCATATACTATCATCTATGACTGAGCTGGTGATTTTTCTGGACTGAAAAAATTGGACTGCTGACAGCTTGGTCCCCCCCAGTTAAAAAATTGCATCTGCGCCCCTGCATTAAAATATTACCAAAAAGTCAATATTTGAAATTAATGGGCCATTTTATCACAGTGTTCTTGTAAAATGGTCTAGCCATGAAGAGATCATTTATGATATGTAAAAACTAAAAACAAACTATAGTCTGTCTATAATAACCATCAACATCAGAATACAGGTGTTTTTACAATCACAAATAGTGAGTTTCTATTCAAATTTTGCACAAAAATTTATTTGGACCATCCCACAAATAAGCTGTTGAAAAACAACTTTATGATTAAGAACATACTGATGACATAAGCTAAAACAACATGGACAATTCTATGCAAACATAACATGAGTAGACACTTTTCTTGGAGATACTTTCAGGTCAGACCGTGTATAACATAAGAGAACATTGTCCATTTGCTACATTCCTCATGTTTTTTTATTTATTTAATGTGGCATGTTTCTTTTAAACCCCTGAGAGTGTGTGTAATTGTGACTCAGGTTGGACTTTTTTTCAGTCTTTCATCCCATTCATCTTTATACATTGCTTTATTTTCTCCACATTGCAAATTGTATCATAACTCTATCAAACAAATAAATAAAGATAGAACTGAATCTATGTGACTGTATGTGAACTTACTAACTGTCTAAAAAATATGACAGCTCATTATGATATTCTGTTCAAATATTATACCAACTTTTGTTTGGAGCATCCTATAGGATTCTGTTGCAGAACCCCCCTTACGGAACACCCCCCCCCCCCCCCCCCCCCCCCCCATATATTGATTAATGACTTGAGCTTAAAAACAGAGGCACATATGCGAAACAAAATGGGAGTAGGCACACATACATTTAGAATTCCCTACTGACCGATGAAACATTGCGGATGAGGTGCATTTGTAGCTTGATTTTTTTACATAGTTTGAAACAGAGGTGCTTTTGTTGGCTTGTTGCTATTGGGATCAAAAACAGTTCATATTTTGCATGCTGTAACATTAATCCAGGTATGACATTTCTTTCAATCATTTTAATTCATACTTCAGGTTTAAGGATTAAATTAATAGTTGCAAACTGTATCCAGAAATCAATGTATTCTATCAGTCTTACTACTAAATAAAATGCTTTTAAAATTTGAATCTAATGGTTTTAAAGGTTTCAGTATAAAACACAAGAAATTCGATGTCATTAGAATATGCTGTAATGAAAACGTTATTTGGCCAACACAGTGATCCATTTCTGTTTTCCCCAGAAATGTGCAATTCATCCATCAACAATTCAACTTTCATATTTGATGAATCAGTGGATTGGTTCTGCATGTGTGAAGGACATATTGGCCCTATTGTCACTTTTTTGACTTCAGTATTGTGCTTCACTGTGGGAACGCCGATCCACTGCTGGTCCCTCTGGGTGTTTTTCCATGGGAACCTTAAATCCAGCTTGGTGTTTCCACTGAACCTCACTATACTGGACCTGTTTTTTAGCATTCAATGCATTATAGACATAATTATTATCAGATTTCCCTCTGTGGAGGGTGACCGTTTAACTAATGTTCTCATTGGTTTTAGTTGGACTTTTAGACCTCTTCTCCAGATCTGCATGTGTATTGAACAATATTTGGCTGTGATTCATCCAGTAATATTCCTGAGATATAAGGCCATCCAGTACAGGATTGCATTGGTAGCAGCAGCTTGGCTAATTGCAGTGGGCAACTGCTTGAGGCTCATTTTCAGTGGGGTAAACTATTTTAAAGATCGCATATTCTTTTTTGTTTTTTGCATCGCAGTGATAATAACTTCCTTTTGCTGTGCCTCTGTCCTTCACGCTCTGAAGCGTCCACGACCAGGAGATCACAAGAATGTAGAGATGACAGAGAAAGCCAGATACAATAAAACTGACAGAAGCAGAGCTGTTGAGAACCAGCAGAAAAGGAAGGCCTTCAGAATCATCTCTTATATTTTAGCATCTATTCTGATTTGTTACATCCCTCTGGTTTCAATTTACTTTATGGATATAGCTCAAATCAACAGGTATGTATATTTATGTGAAGTTGTTCCACTAACGCTGTCCTTCACTATAACTGCTGTATTATTTTTACCATTAGTCAGGATGTATAGCGAAGGCCACCTGAAGCACATAATGTGCTTTTCAAAGAACAATTAAAAGGAAAATAAGACAAAATGAAAGAAATTGGAGCTTCAAAATCAAAGATGATTAGATTTTAGATTTCTTATAAGAGATAAGATGCCTCTGTGATCCTGTGCCTGGTATCCTTGTGTGGATTTATTACTGTTTCATATCTGGATTTTCTGTGTTTATTCTTTTGTCAATTGAATGGTGTTTGCATATGGATTCTCACTCCATCTTGTCCCTGCTCACGTTACAATAGTGAGTTTATTCGATCATTTGCATGAGGCTGGTTTGTGAAAATTCTATGCAACATTTATATAGAAAATGTAATAGTTCACTATACTTTACTATTTTTTGTTTTTATGAGTTTCGGGCCATTTCTGAGCATATGGAACTAGCATATGGAGGTCCTTAGTGAAACTAGACCCTGGTTGGAAACCCTTTTAGCCAGTGCTTGCATGCCATTAATAGATTTATTAAAAGAGACCCTACTTTGTGGGTCCCTGGTGTCTCAGTGGATTTAATCAGCCACTTAGCTAAACGTGGTCAAGAAGTGTTTGATTTTTTTTGTATAAGTTCTCCAGTGTTTTGACAAAACTTTACCCTTGTTGTTGCAAACTGAAGATAAGCTTAATCACTTTATTTATTCATATAGCATTTAACACCGACAACTGTAAATTGTTAGAGTTTTTGAACATTTGGAAATAAATGGCTTTTTAAATGTCAACAGTCTGCAAACATTTTTTTTAGCTGTTCATTGTTTTTGTTAAATACTACTAAAATATTTGTCTGAACATGTTTTCAGGCCACTAGAAGTAATGCATGCTTTCACTAGAAGTAAAAATATTTCTTTTTTTCTTCATAAATTTTATTTAAATGTAATTGAAAACCTTTTTTGTGTGAAAAAAAAGGTTTTATGCAGAAATACATTTGCACGCTGAATGAGGTCCAGTGTCTGTCTTCAAAAACCATCAACAAAACTAGAGTGCAAGCATTTTTAATACAGCAGACCATGTTCTATTCAAATATAATCATTACTATAAGAGTTGTTTGAACCAGCTCATAAATATGCTGGACACACATAAATGAAATGAACTAAAACAACAGGTACAACAATATGCAAACACAATATGAGTAAGCACAGATCCAGATGAACAGACGTAACATGGTTGATGTGGTGCTTTTGTAGTCTGATTTTCATAGTTCTATATACACTTTATAGAAAATCCTTCTCGACCGATGTTTATTTATTTAAAGAATGTGATTTTCAAGTTACTAAAACTGTTACTTGACATTTTTGCCCCAGGACAAATCCTGTCTTGGTCATGTTGTCACGCAGCAGAATTAAATCACAACTGATCCAGATAATGGTGACAAATTGAAGATGTCCTGAGAATGTCCAGGAGCTTCAGGCCATATTCACACAACAGCAGAATACGGTTGTCAGTTCTGTATTTGTCCTTAATTCAGTTGTGTTTACACAGTATGCTTATTTATGGGAGTGGTAACCACATTATATAACCAAACTAGTTGCCTATCACGTTATAATGCGTATATGTTCTGCACTGCACAAACTTGTGTGTTGTGGGTTTTCATGTGTGGTTTTGATAACTTACAGCAAAAATTACAACTTATAATATAACCACTCCCATCAGTTTTGAGTGAGTGACAGTGTCCCATACTCGGAATTTGTGCTCTGCATTTAACCCATCCAAATGCACACACACACACACCTGGAGCAGTGGGCAGCCATTTTTGCTGTGTCACCCGGGGAGCAGTTGTGGGTTCAGTGCCTTGCTCAAGGGTCTCACCTCAATCATGGTATTGAGGGTGGTAGAGAGCACTGTACATTTACTCCCCCCACCTACAATCCCTGCCAGTACCGGGACTCGAACCTGAGACCTTTAGATTACAAGTACGACTCTCTAACCATTAGGTCACAACTGCCCCCGCGACTTTTGTGTTCTATGTGCAAAATGCTCCACTCTCCATTCAAATATAAAAGCTGCTGTTGGTTAATGAAGATTTGACGAATGAACTTGTGTCAAAAGTGATAAGACTTTTCACTATGGTCACTATTGCTGTTGGTTACTGGTAAAAGAATATGGGTTTGACAGTAATCGAGATGCTACTGTAAGCTGCTGTGTGAACGGGACATTTTGAGACTCACACCTGTAAGTATATGTGGTTGTCAATCCCAAAATCGGACAGCGTAAACGTAACATCAGTTTCATTCATTGCAGCCCCTGAACAAGCACACATTGGCTGCATTCACACAGCATCATAATACAGTTGTCAGTCCTTGAGTCCTTAATACAGCTGCATTCACACAAAGTTCTGTTATTTGGGGGAGTGACAAACACAATCTATGGCTACGTTCACACTGTCAGTTTTTGGGATTGACAACCGCATTTACTTATAGGTGTGAGTCTCAAAATGTCTTATTACAAAACAAACATATCTGTGAACACTCTGCTATTGTATTATCTTAAATTGCAACAGTGCATACTAAACCTTCTATGGAAAATGAAAATCAGAATCAGAATCAGAATTAGCTTTATTCGCCAGGTATGCAAACACACAAGGAATTTGTTGTGTTTTTTTAAGGTGCTCCTGGTACATACATACATGCATACATACACATCTGACATGAGAACAGAAAAAGACAAAAAACAACAACAAAAAAAAAACATTTAAATAGTAAAACTTAACAATAAAAAATTTTTCTGAATCCGGAACAGTAGATTTATGTACAGATTTGTGCATAATTTACTCTATATAGAACTGTAACGAACCATGGCTGCCATCCGCGGCGCCATCTTGCTTCATAAGCTGGAAAATGTACTACTGAATATATGTCAATAAATATGCCAAAAGCTGAAATGAATGCCTCATTTTACTATGTACACTGTTCTGCCTCAAAGGCAAGCAAATAATGTTTTTTTTCTCTCTCATTGAATCAGTGAGGCTGCTTTGCAAATCTTAGCATTTTATTTTACAGTGACCTTATGACATGTTGCTTTTAGATGTTCATAAAAACACCTGGCAAAACCATGCAAAACACTATTGCTACTGAAAGTTGGTGTTAAAACATGCCTGTCTACAATTACATTCAACAAGGTCAGCATTTTCTATTAAAATACCGCACCAACATTTGTTTGGACCATTTCATATACTGTTGCAGATATTAACACTCATAAACACACATTAATGACATGAGCTAAAACTAGGAACAGGCCTTAAAACACAAGATGAGTGTATCAGATCATTTAAAGTTTCTGATGAACATATGAATGAGGTACTTTTTGTTGCTTCTGTAACCCTTATTTTCATTTTAAGAGGAAATTTTATAGCATTTGTCACATAGAGAGAGAGTGATTAACTTGCATTTCTGAGTGTTGCAAAAAACTAAATGGCAGGTTTCTAAATGAAAATAAATGCAACTCATTTACTTCATTTATTAGGTTAAACTAATTGAACTAATTCAAGTCTTAAAGGAGTCCTATTATGCTCTTTTACAAAGTCTTGATTTTGTTTTGGGGGTGTACTAGAACAGGCTCTCATACTAGATTGTTCGAGAAACACATTATTTTTCACATATTTTACATTATTACAACACCTCTCTCCCCAGTCTGGCATGAACGGCTCGAATAGTTCCTGTATCAAATGAAGGCCCGCCTTCTGAAATACAAAATGTGCTGTGATTGGTTAGCTGGGCCAGTGTGTGTTGTGATTGGCAGCACTCGGCGCCTGGTCGGAAAATGTCATGCCTCTTACCATAGCCGCCTGTGAGCTTCAGTGTAAATATTGCGTCAAAATCAAATCAATTTGAGCGCGATTTAAACCCGGATGTTTAGCCACTCTAAGTTCGTCTGCCTTGGGAAAGCTAGCGTGTCCCGACATAGTGATAACACTCGTTGCCTTCTCTAGTGCAGCTCAACCAGGTCTCATCCCATTCGTCGATATTTGTGATATCACAAATCCCAGAAAATATGCGTTGTAGTCCAAACGAGTTGTTCGTTGTAGTTTTAGAAAAGTGATTTCTGTTAAATAAAATATCTCCTTTTGAAGTGGACTTTGAGCTTTGTAACTTTGCAGATCTTTTTTATGCTCAAACAGCAACATTACAGACTAACTAAAATTGAAAAAGTGAAAAAGCATAATAGGACCCCTTTAAAGTTAACAGAAGCACTAGAGGACATGTGAAGAAGCTGGCCTGGAGTTAACCATGGTCAGCTTGGGACAGATTTATAGTTTGACTTTTACAGCATAACTCATAACATCACTTACCTGAAAGATTACTTCCCCTTTTACTATTACCTGCCTTCCACTCTTGTAATCATCTGTATGCTTCAATGGACTCCTCTCTTCCCTGTTTCTCTTCCAGCATCTGTTGTTCACCTGTTAACTGCTTGTGAGTTTCCCTAAGACTGTTCATGTAATCCAACCATACTGCATTGACTATTACTGGATTTATCTGGATATTGCCAGTGTCACTCATCTTTGTCAATAAACTGCTCTGGGTTCAAACACTTACCTTGTGTCTCACATTAAAATAGAGGCTTAATTAGGATAAACCTATTGGATGCACTTTTGAAATAATCTGTTTTATGCATAGATTGCAAATCACCTTAGCAAACAGGCCTTTTGTGATTATTGAATTTTTAAATGTAATTTTAAAAAAAAGAAAATTCAATTTCATCATTAAATAGTAATTTACATATATTTTCATTTATTTAAGGCTTTGGTAATGGCATATAACTAACTTGATGTGTACATTTTGCATAAAAAAAAGTCGATGACAAAAAAAGTGCTTATAATTTAAAGAATATAGAGCAAGATTGTGATGTGGTTCAAAATGTGGAAGGAAGACAGGGTTGGCGTGACTGGGACTTGCTTTATTTGAAGCTCTCTGGCACAAACAAAAGAAGTGGCGCCCACTGCGCTTTCAATCACTTAGTACATAACTCAGAATATAAATCTACATACAATTCCGGCTCCAGCAAACAGTCTCCCCGTGTGGCTCGAGTTCCCAGTCAGTCTCTCTTTCTGCAATGGGGCTGACAAGAAGTGAGACATGCGGATCCATGTGCAGGCTTTATTAAGCAGAGAGGTCAGAAACACAGGCAGGGTCGAACAAGGGCAAACAGGAATATGGCGGGCAAGACACAAGAATAGACTAAAGGGGTAATCCAGGAAAACAGGCGAAGATCAGAAACCGAGAAAAACAGGCCAGGCCAGGCTAACGAGGGCTCTGTAGTGTAGCTATCAAACTGATAAGCGCTAAACAATACTCGGCAGCGGGAAGGGATCAGAGTGAGTGTTAAATAGTGAGTGAGTGATATGAAACAGCTGTGTGCAATCAGTGCTGTGTGCAATTAGTGAAGCAGCTGTGTGCAATCAGTGTTGTGTGCAATCAGTGCAATGAATGATGGGATATTTAGTCCGGGATGATATGCAACAGTGTGTAGTGCGAGAGTCAATGAAATGGGAAGGGTGACCTCTGATGGCTAGCAGACAGAAGTTCATGGACTGGATACGTGACACTTTCCTTTGTTTCCCGATACTGGTGGCTTTTATCCGGTCTCTCCACACCAATTACTGAAAGGAGACACAGGTGTTTATCATTTGCACTTGACCTACTCACGCACCGCTCGTCTTCTGCCTCTCTCTCCCTTTGCAGACCTCGCTGAACCACGCCCCCCTCGCCACAAAGATGTTGAAGTAAATGCCTTACAGGCGTATAGATTATGATCACCAAGAGTAATAATTGTTCTTTTCCAATTGTATAAGCACACACCAATGACATAAGTTAAAAACAATGACAATATGCAAACAAAATGGGAGCGGGCAGGGTACATTTATAGTTCCTTATAAGTGGATGAAACATGGTGGATGAAGCACTTTTTGTACTTTTTCCACTGCTGGAAACACTTCTTTAAGTAATTTTTCTGAACATTTTGCATGCTTTGCCATCATTTCAGGTACTAAATTTTTTTCAATGAGTTCTCAGTTTAGTCTTTCAGTCTTGCTATTATATATAACATGTTTTCTGCAGGCTTTAGACTCATTTGTTTCTTTTTTCCCCCAGCTCTGTACAACCATGTGCAATTCATCCTTCCAAATCAACGATTCACTCTCTGTATTCGACAAGTCTGTAATATGGGTCTGTATTTGCAAGGGACACTTTGGCAGCCTTGCCATTTTTGTTACTTTAGTACTGTTCTCCATTGTGGGAACGCCAGTCCATTGCTGGACCCTCTGGGTGTTTCTTCATGGGAGTATCAAACCCAGCTTGGTCTTTCCATTGAATATCAATATAGTGGAGCTGGTTTTTTGCATCCTTAGCATTATAGTCTCCTTTATTACCAACTATCCCACTGTGACAGGTGATCGTTTGGTTGTCTTTTTCCTTGGTCTCGGCTGGACTGTCAGACCTCTTCTCCAGATCTGCATGTGCTTTGACCATTACCTGGCAGTGATTCATCCAGTAGCATTCCTGAGATATAAAGGCATCCAATACAGGACTGCATCGGCAGCAGCAGCTTGGTTAATAGGAGCGGCCAACAGCGTGAGGCTCATTTTCATCGGAATAGAATATTTTCCCGATCATGTATTCTTTTTGATTTTTTGCATTGCAGTTACAATAATCTTGTTTTGCTGTGCTTCAGTCCTTTATGCTCTTAAGCGTCCAGGACCAGGTGAACAAACAAATGTAGAGATGACAAGAAAAGACAGACACAACAAAACTGACAGAGGCAGAGTTGGCAACCAGCAGAAAAGGAAGGCCTTCAAAATCATCTCTCACAATTTAGCATCTATCTTGATTTGTTATTTCCCTCAAGTAGTAACTTATTTTATGCGCATAGCTAAAATGAGTAAGCATATATACATTTGCAACGCATTTCCATTGATTCTGTCATTTAGTTTGACTGCTGTATTAATTTCTCCACTAGTCAGGATGTATAGTGAAGGCCAAATAAAACAAATGATGTGCTTTTCAAAGCTTAGAGAACAAATAAAAGGACAATAAGAAAACTAAAATATGTATTTATTGAAGCTTGACATTGAGATAGAACAGTATTTGAGAATGCAAATGTCTGCACATACCTGCTGGCTGTTAGAAAATGTATACTGATCAGTTTGCAATTGCAATTCAAGACCAAAAACAAAGCTTTCTCCTTAATCAATTAATAAAGAAAAAACATAGGAGTTTTTTTTTGGAGAACAATGTCAGTATAATATTTGGCACAAAAGAATCTTTCACACAAACAATGTATTTACTTCTGATCATTACTGTAAAATGTATGTGTTGAAAACAATGATAAATAAATAGAGTTTTTAAAACAAGACAATTGTGAAGGTCATAATTTATGCTTTCTAATAACAACAAAAACAAGCTTAATCATGTCCATCAAAAGCATCAATATTTAAAATCCACTTTATTGGCAATGAGGTAATTATTGTGATATTTTCATTGATTACTTATTGCTGGTCTACCACAGTTAATAAGTAGTCACTGTTGTGACTAAAATGTGTATGTAAAATGTGTTAAAAGGATAAATGTTTAAACAGCTTTCCGTTTATATTCCAGTACTCAGCAACAGTTTCTAATTTGGTATCTGTGTATTAATGGATACAGTCAATAAAACATTTTATAATGGTGTTTAGTGTGAAAGAAAGCAAAACCTAGTTACCACAGTTACTAATTTATTCCCGTGAGGAGGAAGTGAAGAGAATTTATAGCAGAATTAGGTGTCTTATAAAGAAAGTCCAGCATTTAGCATTGCAACACTAGCCTGAGGATCACACAGTGAGTATATCTGATTTGTGCATCAGTTCATTATTATATATTGGTCTAATATAGTATTGAAGACACGTGTAATGTAGCAACCAAGAGGACAGATAAATTTAAGTAATTTTAAGCAATTATCACTGATCAGTTCTGCTTATTGTACATGTGTTACATATTTCTGCAATTTTAAATGTTTTAATGTTAACATATACAGCTAATTAGATGCTTTACTAAATTACCATGACATTTGAAACGGCAAGCTGCATTTCACACAGGTAGGATTTAAACTGAAATCATTTTCAGTAGGAAAGATACAGAAATGAACAGAGAAAACACAGTCGACTGTAGCAGCACACCTGTAGCTACATACAATCAATTCACTGCCAGGATTCCAAAGTCTCAAATCAACCAGACTGAGCCTCAGGAATCAGGTAGGCTACAAAATATAGTAAATTTAATGAATATGGTATTATAAATGTAGACTAGCCTATGCTTTCTTTTTCATGTAGGCTCATCAAAGTTCTACAAAGTGGTGATTGTGTGCCTGGCGTTGCTGTTTGGTATTCTGTTGGCTGGTCTCATAGCTCTGGCATTCAAGTACAGAACAGACACTGTCCAGTTAAAGACTGACTATGACCGGTGTATTGATGATCAGGACTATCTGAACAGACGCTACTACAATCTGACTATAGAGAGAGATCAGCTGCAGGCTAGTGAACAAATCCAAATGAAAAAAGTACAGAATTTAGAAAAGCTGCTACTAATTGGTAGGTATTCAAGACATTTACTTGGTCATTTAACTTTAATCAAATTAAATTACATTTAAATATTGTAGTTTGTCTTACCTCAGCATTACGTATTTGTATATGCATAAGACTGCTTTGTGACACCATAATTTAACAAAGATATTTTCTTTTAAGGGTGCTTGACAGGAAGGAGCAACTTTTCCTCTCATCTTTATTGTGTCTCTGCTATGATGTTGACGTGGAATGAGAGCAGACATAGCTGTGCTGAGAATGGAGCTTATCTTGTGATCATAAATAGTTCAGAGGAACAGGTGAGTGAGAGTGCAAAACGAGACAGACCTTTGTTTCACTAATCCAGAGTTGATGAAACCTGATAACTGTGTCTGTAAACATACGGTAGCTATAGCATTGGTTTCAAACAATTTTGGCCACCTGGGTGCTAACCATTTCTTTACATATGGGCTGCAACAGGAATTCATGTCTAATTTTCAAATGAATGCATGGATTGGCCTCTCTGTTACTGAAGGAGTGTGGAAATGGGTGGACAACACTAAAGTAATCAAAGAGTGAGACCTGACTTACAGTATATTTAATTTTTTTTTTCAAACAAATATGTGGAAACCTAATGGTTACAATGGTTATAGAGATTTCTTCTAATTAAAACTGTTATGTTCAGGTACTGGGCAACAGGAGAACCTAATGACGTAAATGGAATTGAAGATTGTGTAGAGATTTTAACTGGCCGACCAAGCCAAGAAAACTGGAATGACTTTTCATGTGAAGAAAAAAAACATTACATTTGTGAATATGAATATTAATTTCATAGTTTTTAAGCCATGGAAACATGCCTTTTCCCACTATTTGTGATAAATGTAATATATCTGCAAGTCAAGAGAGATATTTTATACTATTATATGCTAAATTACTATGCCTCTTCTTAGTCTGACATAGTTAACTGAGACAACATTCAAAATCACATAGGCCTATCATTTATTTAAAATAATTTGAACATTTTTGAAAGTCATTTTTGTGTGATTTGCTTTTTGTTCATGAATAAAGAAGTATTCACATGGAATTATAACATCACAAAATTACACATTAGAAATGACCTCTATATTATATTTGATTCCTGCATTTCGAAGCCTAATTCAGACTCGTTAGTCTGCTTTGTAGCTCTTCCTATGGACTGAATACAGTTTCAGAGATGGCGGACAATTACAAACGTGTTCTACATCAGCCTATATGTTTTTATGCGTCACATTCAAACAACAATTAAAACAAATCTTTGTTTTTGCTTTAAAAAAAATAAAGACATAAAGGCACAACTAGTTGTATAAAGTGTGTTCATTTTCCAGAAACATAAATTATGCATACAGCAGTGATCGAAGGCTATTCAGATCTAGTTATTGATCTGCCGTTAGTCTTGTATTGGAATCAAAATTCATGTCATTCAAACTCCCTTCAGATATAGACATCGTCGTACATTTTATTATGACAAAGAGGACTTTAATTTTGACAGGAGTTTTAATAACCCGGAAATACAGCAGAACCGTTGCTCCCCTAACCCTGCTTAAAGATGGCTTTCAGAACTGGACATGTTTCCAGCTACCTTCTGAATATTTTGTTGGAATACCGGTCATAATCGGATGGTGTGTGGAAATTAGATCGGATTTAAGGGGGTTGTGGTGTCCGTTCTCGACGACACACATTCAGTTCCCCTTCGGCAGTCTGCACGGCGCTCGACGCCGCTGGCTGTAGTGTCGAGGTTGTAAATATTATCAGCTCTCCAGCCAGACTCCATCTAGACCAGTGCTTCTGATAAAAATGGCCACCATGGAGAAGCTGATGAAGGCGTTTGAGTCGCTCAAATCATTCCAGCAGCAGCAAGGCCCGCTGTCGGCCGAGGAGCTCGTCCAGAAACAGTGAGTGCTGAACTGATGCAGCCTCATCATCATCATCATCATCATCAGGGTGCTGGCATCACCTGACACAGTCGCTATTGTAATGTTATCATGACATTCAGGAGGGCTGTGTGTTTTCTCGTATAAAGCTGGTTGTTGTCTTGGGCTTAAAATCACAACGCGTTAGAAGTGTCACACAGCCTCGTTTTTATTCTGCGTCAGTGGCGAGATAAAACGGCGCGCACTCCTCTAGAAAACCTAGGAAAAAGCTGTTGCCTATAAAGAAAGCCAGAAGTAGCCCCATAATTCTTGATTAATGAACCAACAAACATACTGGGTAATGTTTGTGTGTAAATGCAGTGTTTTCTATGAATCTGTTCATCTCCTGATTTTGACATCCTCTTACAAAACGTGTTTTTCCTCGCCTGTTACTCGGCGTGACTCATACCATCAGATACAAAAAAAATTATGTGTCAGATATTTATTATACACATTGACAAATTGGCTCAAGCAAGTTTTCAGCACCGTGTATTAAACTGTCATCACAGTCACACTAAAAATCTTGCAAATTCACCAAGGTTTGTCTTTCACAGCCATTTAGGTTCTGGCGTACCTTTCTTATGAGTTGAATATAACGTTATTTTAATTCTTGTGAAGTGTTGAGTCTGGGTACAGTCAGTTTTGAAGTGCTGAGTGATAATGTGATATAATTCTGATAAAAGAGAAAATAAATAAACATTTTAGTGATCATCACGTAGCCTATTCATTTCAATGTGGAAACTATTTTATGGAGGACTGTTTCCTGATACTGGTAGAGTAGACTACAATGCCGGCTGTTCTGACTCACAGACTGTAAGTAAGTTTTTTATATTTAAAGAATTTGCCACTGACAATTCAAACGCGAGTTTTGAGCAGTGTAGAGTAGCACTTGTTGTTTATCATTTCTCCCATCACAAATGCAGACATGGTTTTATGTTTACATGGCGCGATGCAACGCAATGCGTAAAAAGACAGTATAAATCATTATAATCCGTAATTATGCCTCGTTTATAATGGGTTTTAATGTTTTTGTCTTGTCGCGCCGGCCGGACAGGGCATCACAGTATGGTAAGGGGCGTAACATTTCTGTCACACGCTTGAGGTATTCGGCCAATCACAGTGCACTGGATAGCTGGGTAAACATCCCATGATAAACTGTTTGGTACTATTTTGGATGTTAAGGCACCTGTCCGCCAAATGATCATGCATCAACCACTGTAATAGATGACCTATTACATATTTAGTTTTTCAAGGTTGAACACTCGTCTGCTGAGGTCATTTGGTTGTGTTTAAATAAATTCAGATTTGTTGTAGATCACCACCAGTGAACAGTGATGTTATATGTGCTGTGGTCCAGAAGAACAGCTTTATTGCTGCATTGTTAGCAAGATTACATTCACCTAATGGATTTAGGTAATCAGTATCAGAAAATAAATCGGTGTCTGGCTGACCACTGTGGCTCAACATAATATACTCACTTTACCGATACATGTCTGATTTTCAACTTAGAACCAAGAAAATATCTGCTGGAGATGTTATTTATGTGTTTCATCAAATCAAATGTTAAATTCTGTTAATGTTTGTTTTCATGACATCCACAGTAAAATTGTGTTTTCTTACAGAAAAAAAGACCTTGCTACAACCAAAAAGGACAGAGTGACTCATTGCCTGACGATATGTGAAAACATTGTGGCACAGTCGCTGAGGTATGCAGTAGTCAATGGACGGACACATCAGATTAAGGATAATCAGATTTGGTCACGTCTTATGAGTCATTGGCAACAGGCTAATTGATGCTGAGCCTAGGCTGGCTTTTTCACCCTTACAATGCAAATTCAGTGAAGGTATTCAAAATGTAAAATCCTGAATTATTATAAGTTGCCTATAGCAAGTTTTATTATGAGTGCCAGCACTTGAAGTTCTCAAAGTCCATTTATTTCAGCTTGACTACACTTGAATACAGAATAAATCTGTTTGGAAAACAATGGAGAAAAAAAAAGATTATTGTAAACTTTTAAAAAGCCTGAATAGACATTTTTGATTAGATCTTTTTGAATCAAATGTTTAGGGACAGTACAGATCTAGTGAAGTCCTGGACTTTGACATAGTTTTTGTGAATTTTAATGGTAGAATTTTCTTATATATGGTCTTAAAATCATATCAGCCCATTTCCTACTGTTTTGGCTTTACTGGCCTTGCTGCACTCATCCTGATGCCAAACGAGAGCTGAAACTGGAGCATCATCAACAGTCCAGGTCATATACACAATGCAGCAGTATGAGGTTCATTATTCATTTTGCTGTGTCTGACTCAAGGGGGTTCATACTTTTCTTAACTGTGTAGCCACATCCTTGTTTTTCATTTAGTATTTCCTTTTTTGGCTTTCAGTATTATTGCTAGAATGCACAACAGCTTCACAACAACATTCTCTTGAAGCTGTCAGTGTTTGAGGGTAATTTGGGTGATAGTAACAGCCAGATATATAAGGAGGAACAGAACACAATCACTCCTTCTTTGCTATTATAAACTGAACGAGTGGCAAAGTCAAATGTCCTTTGTTGGGACATAATATACATAATGCACATATTTTATCTGGACTGCTGCTAATTTGAAAGTTTTAGCCTAATTTTTTTTTTAGCAAACTAGTATTATTATCATAGCTGTGTATGTAATGTGTCATTGTATTTCACTCTGTATTTCACTGTGACTTTATCAGGACATCTCCAGAGTTCCAGAAACTTCTCGGAATCGCTATGGAAATGTTCTTGTTGTGCAGTGACGACAAGGAGTCTGACGTCAGGATGGTGGCAGATGAGTGCCTCAACAAAATCATCAAAGTAAGTCATGTACAGTTTATATATCTTATATATATATATATATATATATATATATATATATAAATTTGGACTCTAATGATGATTGCAGTGCTAATATATTGTAATTAAATTTCTTTTTGTTTTACTTTGCAGGCATTGATGGATTCCAACTTGCCTAGGCTGCAGCTTGAACTGTACAAAGAGATTAAAAAGGTAAATCAGATTGCATTCTCTTTATTCGATTTGGACGTATTTTCACAAGGGAAAAAAATTAATTTTTAGATTTGATGTAGTAGTTATAAGAGTTACAATTTTGTTTTGCTTTGGGTGCGAATAGACAGTCTGATTCACAGTTTTTTTTTTTCTTGGTACAAACAATGCTTTATTGTTTTTTTATGGGGGAGAGTGTTTTTGAAATGGCATTCCATATAGTTTTCGTAGGTACAGGGGTCTTGTTTTTCTAGGGACACGTACAGATCACTAATAAAGCACTACTCTTTTTATTTTCACAGAACGCTGCCTCTCGGAGTCTGCGGGCAGCCTTGTGGAGGTTTGCTGAGCTTGCTCACCTAGTGCGTCCACAGAAATGCAGGTATGCTTATTAACTTAGTCAATTACTTCTATTGGTCTGCTCAGGAATAAGTGAAACTGATATTGGGTTAATGATTACAAAATTAAATTCATGCTTCTAATTGTAATAATCAGCAAACACACACGAATCCTCCTCTCTTTTTTCTCAGGCCGTACCTTGTGAATCTGCTGCCGTGTCTGACGCGGATCACAAAACGTCAGGAGGAGACTGTGCAGGAAACTCTTTCTTCTTCAATTCCTAAAATCATGGCTGCCCTGGGTCACTTCGCCAATGATGGAGAGATCAAGGTATCAGTTCAGTACTATAAAGAAAGAGATTTAAAACAAAAAAAAAATCCAAAGGAAACCACTGTAAACTATGTTTTTGGTTTAGCTGAAAGTTTGTCACAGTTAAAGGTTTTCAAAGAACACTTTAAAGAACCACATCAGCTGATGTTCAGGTGGAAATCACTTGACTCAAAAGTCACACCACTACAACATTAACCATGGCCCCTGGCCTGACTTCTGTGATTTGGCACCTCAATGCGGGATTTCCCACACCGTTATCTTCTCTCGCTGTCTGAAGCCGTGAATGCGCAGTGGTGAGATCATCTTCTCAAAATGGAATGTGACTCAGTCAGACTGGATTTAATTATCCATGAGCCTCCTCTCCCTCACATCAGTAGGAGACGGAAAGAGCCTGTTCTCTTGCCAAGAACACATTTACATTTAAAGACAGTAGAACTGTCAGTTTAGTGCTGTTTTCTTATGTTTAAATCCAGCTCAATCCAAGTCATAAATAAACAAATTTCACAAGCAATGGCAAGTGAAGATCCTTGGGAAGACAGGAGACAAAGGCCAATCAATTTGATTAGCTATGCGAACATTCTAGGAGTGCTTAATCGGTTAACAGTTAAAATATTATACAGAATACACAAACATTGAGGTCGGTCAAATTGTTTTGTGTTTTTGAAAGAAGTCTCTAATGCTCACCAATGCTACATTTATTTGATCAGGAATACAGAGCATACTCTATTTTTTTTCATTAAAACTGTAATATTGTAATATTACTGTAATAATTTAAAATAAATGTTTTCTATTTGAATGTATTTTAAAATGTAATTTATTCCCGTGATAGGAAATCTGAATTTCCAGCAACCATTACTGCAGTCCTCAGTGTCACATGATCCTTCAGAAATCATTCTGATATGCTGATTTTTTTTCTTGATTTTATGTTGAAAACAGTTTTGCTGCTTAATATTTTTGTGGACACCATAATACTTTTTAAAGGAAGTGCAAAAGAACCATATTTATTTAAAACCGAAAGATTATAAATGTCTTTTCGGTCACTTTTGAAAAGAATTGTACTGACTTCAAGCCTTTGAATACTAGTGTACCTCTTCAGATGATTATGTCTGCATTTACACAGCCTGTTGCAGAAGAGGGATCACAAATTTGCAAGGGAAAACACTAATTAAAAGTTCAAAGGGTGTGCATAAACCCAGCCCTCATGTTCCTAGACGTCTCTTTAGTCATTTTCTTACAAAATGCATAAAAAACAAAAGTATTATTAACAGGAATAATAAAGCAAGTTAAGTAATATGATTTCATAATCTCACTTCCTGTTTAATAGGCTTGCCACGATAGACGGTGCTGACGGTGATACCATTGTTAATCCGCAACACTGGTTACGTCACTTGCACCGACCCCCACCGTCGTTTTGATTTTTTTATAGTAATAAAAATCATTTAGTTCAGTAAAAGAACAGACACTACAATTAAAAACTGAACGCGGCTGCTCAATGCAGCGTGCCGAACGACAGTCGCATCACAGATCAGATTTAATTTCTCCAGTGAGGAGAGTGAGTCGAGCTGACTGACGAGAAGAGTGAGGTGAGACAGACAAGACGATCGCGGATGATTTAGTTTCGAAACGATTTGCAAAAGCGCCTGTTTGGCAGTATTTTGGATTTTGAAAAGCCTGTTGACGTTTGCCGTTTATCTAAGGTGATTTTGGAAG